GGGGAGGCTCAGGCTGTGGTGCTGGGGCAGGCGGAGGGAGGGGTTCAGGCTGGGGCCTGGCTGGAGCTGCTCCCCGTCCCCGGAGCCCTGATTCCCCTCCCGCCCTCCGCGCCCCCAATCCCAGCCCCCCCCCCCGAGCCTTCTACCGGTGGGGCTCGGGGGGGCGGGGTTTTGTGGGCCGCTCCCGCCCGGTGTTTACAGCCCAGGCGCGCGCTCCGCGCCGCCGCCGCGCGAATTGAGGGGCATGTAGGCGGCGGCGGCAGCCGGGCTGGCGCGTGCTTCATTGAGGCGTTTCCCAGGTGACGGGAGCAGCGTCGCGCGCAGGCGCAGAGCTTCTGGCCGTGCGGCTGCTTATGTGAGCAGCGCGCGCTCTGCCTTGGCCGCTACGTGCTGCAGCAGTCCCAGAGACAGACTTGCCCGGCCGGGTTCGGAGGGGGCGGGGCACAGCCTGACTCCTCGCCCCTCCCCCCCCGCGTGTGTCTCGCAAATTCCAGTCCGGGCAGGCAAGGGTGGGCTCTCTTCTCCCCTCCCCCGCCTGCCGGTGTGAGGCCGCAGAGCGGCCGCCCCCTAGGAGCGCATGCGCGGTACAGGGCAGCGGCTGCGCCTGACGGTGTGTTTCCGGGTCGCAGGGACCTTTTCCGGGGCTCGGCAGCGAGTCCGGGAAGCTGCCGCTGCCGGGTAATAGCGGTTCTGGGGCTCGGGCGGGGCGGGGCCGCGCGGGGCGGGTGGCGAGCGTCGCCCAGCCGCGGGGCGAGGAGACCGCGGCTGCCTGGCCAGGGAGCCCCGCGCTGTCAGGCGGCGGGACCGGGAGCCCCACCCGCTCCGCACTCAGGGGCAGCGCCCGGGTCCTGCGGTGGGGAGCGGTCCCGGCCCCGGGGCTCCTCCCAGGGGCCGAGGCTGGAGCTGCTCCTGGTCACCAGTGCGGCTAGATGTTGTCAGGGTTGTTTTTAGTAAAAGTCAGGAACAGGTCGGGGGTTGGGTGGGTGAGTGAGTGTTTATTGCCCTGATCTGCCCCGATCTGCCCCGACTGTTACTAACACTAACAGTGACACAAGGGGGCTGGGCCCAAGCCCTGGGGAGGAGGAAGGGGTCCAGCACCCGCGGCCACTGCTCCAGGGTTCCCCTTCGGCGCCCCCAGCAGCTGGGGGGGCGCTGCTGACTGACTGACAGCTCCAGCCCCACTACCCTGGGGCTGAAGCGGAAAATGTCATGGAGGTCATCTTAGTCTTAATCATCAACTCTGCGGCCTCTGTTCCTGCGGTGTGGTCACTGGGCAGCTACTGAAACGTGTAACAACACGGGGGTGAGGACAGCTCCAAAGTGCCTATGTCACTGTTCAGGATCAGGCTTAGGCTACTTGAATCGCGTCGGGATTTTTGAAAATTTTACCCAGACTCATTTTTGATTTGGTAGCGGCAGACACATCTTAATTTAAAACAAGGACCAAACCCAAACATACGAGAGTGAGACACCATGGCGCAGTAGGTCACAAGCAGAAAGCAGAGAAACACCATGAGACAATGACAGCGCTTAGCATTGGCTCACTTTACATCAAATTGGTTTGTGAAATTGCATTGTGAGGGTGAATGTCATTCTGTCATCTTTTTTCCCCTTTCAGGTGTTAACTGTTCATCTGTGTACCTGATGCTGAAATTTGTTCTTCTTTAAATTGAGGAGACCATTGTTATGATTCTCCGTGACTAAGTACCATTCCCCCCATCGTTACGTTACGTTATATGCCAAGCTGATACAATGATGAATTCTCAAAGTTTCTCATTACCAACAATGGTGCCCAGTAGCTCTGTTATTAATAGCTCCGTGACTAGTAACTTATCAACGAACAATCCACCCAGCAAATCAGTTCTCATTAGCAAACCGTTTAAATGCTCTGAATGTGGCAGGTCTTTTGCCCAGCTGACGGAGCTGGAGCTTCATGAGATGTCTCACGCTGCGGAGCGACCGTATCGCTGCGAGCTCTGTGGAAAGACCTTTGCGCAGACATCAGCTCTGGTGAAGCACCAGCGTGTTCACACAGGAGAGAAGCCTTACAAGTGTCCCATGTGTGGGAAGACTTTTGCCCTGTCCTCTGGCCTGGTACTACACAAACGCATTCACACTGGCGAGCGGCCCCACACCTGCCCGCTCTGCGGCAAGAAATTCATCTCCTCCTCCCACCTGGCCCTGCATCTGCGCTCGCACACGGGCGAGAGGAAGTACAAGTGCAATGTGTGTGGGAAGCTCTTCCTACAGTCCTCGCACCTTGTGAGGCACAAAGCAATCCACACGGGGGAAAAGCCCTTCAAATGTGAGGACTGTGGGAAGAACTTTGGGCGTGCCTCACACCTGAAGACTCACAGACGTGTTCACACAGGGGAGAGGCCTTTCAAATGCACCCAGTGCGAGAAGGCCTTCACACAGAAGGCAGGACTGATCCTGCACATCCGCCTTCACACTGGTGAGAGGCCCTACAAATGTGACAAGTGTGGGAAAAACTTCCGTTCCTCCGCTCACCTCATGTCGCATCAGCTCCTTGAGTCTGGGGAGAGGAATTTCAAATGTACCACATGCAGTAAGGCCTTTAAGCAGGCCTCATCTCTCAAACAGCACTTAAAAACACACGAAGCCCGCGAGCCTCACCGCTGTTCTGTTTGTAGCCGAACTTTTTCTAGGTCCTCTTATCTCCAGCTTCATATGAGAACGCACAGTGGGGAGAGGCCCTATCATTGCATGGTTTGCAACCGGACTTATGCCAAAATGTCTACATTTGAGAAACATTGTAAAAAGCATCAGCAGGATGAAGAGAGGTGTGACATCAGGCCCAGAGCAATGACTACAAGGGCAAAAGCACTGGCTGAAAAGAAAAGGCAGGAGCAGAAACAGCAGCACCAAGATGACCGCCCAGAACAACATCAGCCGCCTGACAGAGAGCAGCAACAAGATGGAGAGCAGTAATAATCACTAAAACCAAAATTGGGTGTGGTTCCCCATGCCCCCACCCCAAATGGGGGAGAGAGTGGCTGAGTTAATTTCTATCAAATAAAAACCCCGTGTCACACCAGTGTTGTTCAAGAAAACATTCTGAAGTGGAATTCTGCATCCTAAAGGTGCAATGCAAACACTTTTCTTTGTCATACCATCATCTCTCCAATAAGTCTCCCAATGCTCCATACAATCAGTGTTGTGTTCAAAATGTTACATGGTTACAATAGAGTTTCACAAAGTTCATCCTTAGCTATTTTGTTTTAGATAGGTAGGATGCCTCTTCTAAGCTAGAATCGTAAGGGTTACCATTCACCCAAAATGTTCAATTTTATAGGGATTGTTTAAAAAAAAAAAAAAAGTGGGATGAGTCTTTGAATGCAAGAAGTAAATTGAGATCCCTTGGGTGAAGATTAAAGTAAGTGACATTCCTGCACAAAATGGAGTCCCAACTTTTTGCTTACACTGGTACCAGAAATTGGGTAGGGAAAGATTAATGGAATTTTAACCTGTGAAGTGCAATTTGTTTCTAAAGCACTGTAAATATCTAGAAAATAGTGTCTGAGACTTTTTTTTCTTACTTTCCCAAGGAAAAGGAAAGTTCTGCTCAGCATCCAAGCACTGCTTGGTGTCTTGAGTGAGATATGTTTGAAGAGTGGCAGGTCTTACTGTGTGGTGTTGAAGATCAGCTTTTTTTTCATCATTTTCAGAAAATAAATAAGGCAAGTGGGGAGAATCTGTAATTCAGGTTAATTTGAACAACTTTGAACTTCCAAAACATCATTTTGTATCAAAGCTGAAAGAGTTTTTTATATATATATATATATATATATATATATATTAAATTAAGCTTTTCAGAATAGAAAATTTGTTGGTGGAGAGAGATTCTAATTTCTGTCCTTGTTTGGCCAAATCAAGTGTACTATTAAAGTATTGTTGTCTTTGGTTAGTGAACCCATTGCATTGGGAAAACTTGGAAATACCATAATGACCACAGTCAAATCAAGTTATTTCATGTTAAATGTGGCCGAGAGATCATCTTTAACAGAATTGAGATAATATTCTACAGATTCTGAGGAGCGTTAAACATATTTTTAAAGTAAACAAAAAACAACAGGAAAAAATGTGGTGCCTTTATCAAAGCATAGCTCTTCTTAAATCAGAGCTTCATCCTGTTCTTGTAAGCTTTAAATCATTTTAGCAACACTATTATAGAGCCTACTTTAAATGCTTACTTATCACTTATTACACAAAAAGTCACTTATGCCAGGGAAAAAAGGAAGAAATCATTTCCGTACTTTGAGCATGTTTAAATGCACGTTCCTTATTTTCTATATTGAGTGCATTGACTTTTTCAGACTATATTTTCATGCCATTGTGTGGAAACACATATTTTGCACTTTAAGGATATATTTAGAAAGGCATGTGTCTTTGGTACTCTGTTGCATACTCACAACTCCATGTTTTTAGGCCAAAAATGTATTGTTGCAGTTGGAATGAGAACTTATGCATTGTAAATATATCAAAGAATTGAGTCAGAAATTACGCTGTGGGGGAATTGAATTCAATTTAATAGCATATTCACAGTTAACAAAACTGATGAAGGAATCCTTTGACTTGTCTTCAGAATTTACTGTACAGTGGATGAACTGAGGTACAAAAAAAGTCTTTCACGGACCTGATATTTTTATATAGCTGAATTGTACACTTGCAGTATTCAAACAGACAAATAGAACTTCTGATATAAGTCAGAGTTTATTGTCATGGTAACTTATAATGCAAACTTTTGCTACAGACTTTAGATTCATTCTGTTGTGAACTGTAATGTTCTTTGAGAGGGACCAGACTCACTGGGATATATCTGCAGTCGTGTTATGCAGCAGTGCCATACAAGTAGAGTTTATCTTTTTGTACTTCAATATGCCTATTAAAATAACCACTATAAATGGCTGTCTACTTTTCCATCCTAACACTTCTGATTTTAATCCTTTTACCCTAAACTATTTGCTACCGAAAGTAAAATGGAAATCACTAGTAGTTTAGCTTCCTTTAAAACGTTTAAATTGTTTTAGCTAGCTATATAATGTTTCTCTGCTAGTTGTGGTATTCCCCTTACAAAATGTAGAAGTCATTGGCATGCTATGTTCTTACTTGCACCGTAGTGTACTTCCACTCAGAATTCAAAGATGATGACAAAAGAAACTTTTTAAGGGCTATCTTATTCCCTCCATGTTGCTCCTTTTGTGCTTATTTATTTCCATTTTACACACCCCCACCCCTTTTCTTTTTTAATCTTCACCTTTTGCTTTTTCAGTTTCCTGCTCTGTCAGCTGTCTTCTCCCAGTGACCGGAAGCCCAGGATGCAGGATCGACCCAGAAATTGTAAATTAAAAAAAACAAGTTCCAGGAGTATTTCAGAGTGGAAAAATGAAAGTATGCTCTATTATGCCCTGAATGTTACACTAATGTAAGTAAGGCTGGGCAAATCCTGTAGATTGAAATATAACTCTTAGGAGAGAGCAAGTTCAAAAATGTGATTCACGGAAATAATGCCAATCCCTGTATTTTTCAGCCTAATGCACAGAGAGGAAGCAGAAAAAATTGTTTTAGTGTCTCCTCCCCCCAAAAATGAAAGTAACTTTCCATACTGAAGTAACTTATAGTACCTGATTCTAATTAATTGTGAATTTCAAGATCTGTCCAATGGTGCAATGATTTGGGTTTTTTAGAAGGGGAATGTTTTCCCTTTTGGAACTGGGAAAGCTTTTTTGGTGAAGTGTCCCCTTCCCCATGGAATGGATTCACCTCCTTCCTGCTTTCTCAAAAAGAACAGGAGTACTTGTGGCACCTTAGAGACTAACAAATTTATTAGAGCATAAGCTTTCGTGGGCTACAGCCCACTTCTTCGGATGCTTTCTGTAATCATTTGTGTGTTTAGAAGAGACTGGGTCAGCCCTGACACATGGCCCTTATCTTAGCTGTTCGTTGAGAAAATAGTAATGGGGTTATTTACAATAGAGCAGTTTCCCACCAAAGTAGGATTCAGATGTCCAAAGTGTCACATGCTTGGTCAGTCTCATTCATCACAATGCTCCTCTAATTCACTCATCAGGCACTAAAAAAATTGTGGTTTGTTTCTCATTGTAAAGGAACATGGCAAAATAATTTTTTTAAAGCCCTTGTTTTCCTTAAAACATTCTAGTAACATGCGTGAGATTGGAATGGTTTACAGACTGAAAGCCCAGTGACATACATCTCTAGCAGACTCAGTGGCTCTTTACAGTGGGGGACTTTGTGCTGCTGGAATGAACACTTCAATTGGAGCAAACAGCAAATACCAGCCTAGGAGAATGAGTGACCAATAAGTGTATGGATTTAATCCTTCCCAAATTCATTTTGTTGCTGTCAACATACAAATTCATAGCTTTCCTTTGGCTCTCTCCTGAGTGCACAGACCATTAATGGTGAACAAAACAATGCATTTTTGTAAGTATACTGTTATCAGGATACCAACACAAGACACTGCTTGAAAAAAAGGATTGATGTGCATAAATAAGAAATGGTCTATGAATGCTGATAATTTCATGTCTAGGCTGCTTTAGTAAAATGGGAGGGTTCTTATTCCTAAAAATACTTGGTCTGTCTTTGAGGAGTGGGGGGAAGAACTAAGATGTACAGCGACAATTCAGATAGTAAAATCACAGTGCAGAAAGCAATGGAAACATTTCAAAAGACAGAACTAACTGAAGAGAATTACAAAATAGTATCCATGAACCAAACTGCTCCTATGTTAGTGTTTCTTTTTCAATCTCTGCAATTTGTATGGAAAGTCCTTTTTATACCACTCACAATCCACATAATCTTGCTGTAATTTTGTCCAAGTATTTCTCCTTTCCAATTAATTTATGATTTTGTTGATAGGTAATGCTCCTCTTGGCAGGGTAAGGACTGTAACATCTGAGGCTTTAGTCCTCAGATACCTTCCTCTCTGCAACAAGTTGTGTCTAATTTGCATATCTGGGCTTAAAATTGGGAAACCTTAAATTCTTAAACAACAAGGAGTCTGGTGGCATCTTAAAGACTAACAGATTTATTTGGGCATAAGTTTTTGTGAGTAAAAACCTCACTTCTTCGGATGCATAGAGTGAAAGTTACAGATGCAGGCATTATATACTGACACATGGAGAGCAGGGAGTTACTTCGCAAGTGGAGAACCAGTGTTGACAGGGCCAATTCAATCAGGGTGGATGTAGTCCACTCCCAATAATAGATGAGGAGAGGTGTCAATTCCAGGAGAGGAAAAGCTGCTTCTGTAATGAGCCAGCCACTCCCAGTCCCTATTCAAGCCCAGATTAATGGTGTTGAATTTGCAAATGAATTTTAGTTCTGCTATTTCTCTTTGAAGTCTGTTTCTGAAGTTTTTTTGTTCAATGATAGTGACTTTTAAATCTGTAATAGAATGACCAGGGAGAT